TGAGAGTGTTTTGATTCCTGCAAGGAAAAGCCAGTTCCTCAGGACTAGCAGGCAGCAACGTGTTTCTAGGGACAGCTTAAATTCCTCCTTCTGTACAAGGAAGAATGGTTGCTTCCTTGGGCTTGTGACAGACTAACAGCATGGTTCAGTCATGTTCTTATAGAGAGAGTATGTAGGAACAGAGTGTATGCATGGGTACGACAGCTACCTGAATGGGGATCTGCATCTTACCTGTGTTCATCCACAGTGAAACACCAACAAAAGCAACATCTTCCTAAGGCTCTTTTTAAAAACTAAGAGACTGGCTGAACTGCCTCTGGAGGCACTTCCCTGTCTTCATGACTGACTATAGGAAGAGCTGAAAAAAGATGGATTTCCTACTCAAGGGACAGGAGCCAGGTGAGGCCCCTTCAAGCCAAAGGCTTTCACAGGTGAGAGAGCCCATGTTAAAGGTCAGCAAGAGCCCTTAAACCCATTTCTCTTTAGGATTCCACAATTTCCAAGTAGTATCTTCCTTCAAAACCCTTTTTCCTCCGTCACGAGATCATTTAAGCACCTGATCAGGACCAGAGTAAACTCTCCTCTCTGTCATCTCTCTGCATCTGCAGGTGACTGAAGGACACATGGAGCTGCACTCCCTTCCCCACCAGAGGATTTTACTGTTTATCCAAAATCCTTTCAGCTATTTGCTCAGATCAGAGCCATTTGAGAAGAGTTTTCCCAAGGCTGACAGACACCTGGGACTGGAGGAAGCCATGACCCAGGGGAACTGCCAAAATGCTCCAGTACCTGCAGGGAGCAGAAGGTGAAGTTGAGCAGTCCAGGTCCAGCCCAGCCCTGGCTGCTCCCCAGGAACGTTGTGGGAACCCAACAAGCTGCAGCCCTGAGCTGTAGGCCCCCTCTGCACCACAGCAAAAGTCCACCAGAGGCTTTTATCAGGACATGCTTGTCTTGATACCTGGACACTACCTCCAACCTGGGTGTTTCTGGCCATTTTCCCCCAGGGGCACCAAAGTGCCCATTTTCCCCATGATTTGAGTCCTTCACATTTCTATGGAAAGGTGAACTTAGTGGCTGGAAAAACACCAGAGTTACCAGGACAGCACAGAATCAGGGTAAGTGAACCCAGACTTACCATCCAGAGTTGCAGCACAGTCTGTCCAGCCTAATGTCCTGCCTCTGGCAGGGCCAGAAACAGGCTGCTCAGAGAAGAACTTGCACCAGGGTGCAAACCCACACATTGTGAGGGCAACCACTTGTCAAACAGTAAACTCCAGAAAATTATCTTCTGCTACTTGAGCAACATGGGACTAACCCTTACTATGGCAAAAACTATTTAAAAACAGAAAAGCAAGCAATTCTTTTGGGAGCTGGTGTGGCTTTGCAGTTTGTTGTCAATACAGGCTGAAGCTGAACTGGGAATTCTTGTGCAGCTGCTGTTTTCTGTTAAACATCTGTCTTCAGTTCTTTCTCAAAGCTCAATGGTGCTTGGGGCCCCATCCCTGGGGGTCTTTAAGGCCAGGCTGGAGGAGGCTCTGGGCAGCCTGATCTAGTGGGAGGTGTCCCTGCTCATGGCAGAGGGGTTGGAACTGGGGGATCCTTGTGCTCCCTTCCAACCCTGACAGATTCTGATCTGTTTTAGCAGAGGACTTAATAGTGTTGGCTTGATGATCTCGGAGGTCTCTTCCAACCTAAAGGATTCTAGGTTTCTATGATTCTAATCTCCCACTTGGCTGGATACTCTTCTATTAGTCTGGCAATCTGGAATAAACCTCTAGGAAAAAAATGAGCAGAGGGGTAGAACAGATAGCTGGAGAAATTCTATTTAAAAGATGAACAGATAAAGTCCTAATGAATCTCAGCTGTCAGCATCACAACTTTATCCTCAGACTTCCAGAGCTTTCCTGCTATTCCTGTTTCTGTACCTTCTCCACTGGACACCATCATACACACTTTTACCTGACTACAGCAGAACAGCCCAGGCAGTTTGTGACAAGCCCTGTGCTTTGCAGCAGCAGCAGCTTTGAAAGTCTGCTTTCTCTTCTTGCTTAGTCTTAGGTGACCAAGTTAGCCTGGCAAGCAGGCCCACAGCTGACACAAACCAGGGATTTCAGGGTGTGGTGTCCATGTTTGGAGGACACAATGGATGATGACCACAGTCTTAAACAGAATTCACCACTCTCAATGAAAACTTTTTATAAGTGCTCCTCCTTCTTTACACCATTTCTGGTTACAGAAATACTGCTGCTTTGATTAAATCCTTGCTCGGGCCAGAAGCTTCTGTGAAAAGTTTAATCTCACCAATTTTCATAATAGTAAACAGCTATTTCAGCAGAACAGAGCCACAGCACCTTGGAGATAGTCAATTCCACTGTACCTATACTGAATGAAGGAACTACATTGTTTTAAATTTTCTGGTTACTTTGGTGGTAGCCAGAACCTAACCCTGTGAGTTCCAACCCCCCAGCTGCACAATGGAGATAAAAGCCTTTACTTGGCACAAGTGGGTTACAAAGATTCTTCTTCCAAGGATACACATAAATCTCAGGCCCACAGCAACGTGACTTCTTCTGCACAGCTCTCCTAGGACCCCCAGAGAGAATTCTCAAAAGATTTTCTTTTGCATGTTCTGGACTGAAAGACGTGTTGCATCTTTCCTGCTGGAAAGGAACAGCCCTGCAGCTGCTGGGGTTACTCAGATAAGGGGGAGGAGAAGGCTGGGCATGGCAGGAGCAGCAGAGAGGAGCAGCCCAGCCGCATCACTGTGTTCTTTGTGAGCTCCCAGGCTCCTCCCCAGCCATTCAGAGAGGGGTTCCACACTGCTCTGCAGCCTCTCAGGAACTGAAATGAATTTCAAAAATCTGGCTCTCACGTTTCCATAAGAGCCATACAGCCCATCTGCAGCTTACAGAGAAAAAAAGCACAGAGGAAACAGTCCTGCCAGCCTGCAAATGCATGCCTGCATGCAGACCCAAAGCAAAAAAAAAAGCTACCCTTATTCTGCTAAGAACCCAACCTTAAGCTGCTCGCTGACACCCAGCTCAAGTACAAAAGTATTTTGCCACTGAACACCACTGCCCTTCACACTTCCATTAGCCTTCCAGGCACCTGCAGCTTATAGAGAAAAAAAGCACAAAGGAAACAGTCCTGCCAGCCTGCAAATACATGCCTGCATGCAGACCCAAAGCAAACAAAGCTACCACCTTATTCTGCTAAGAACCCAACCTTAAGCTGCTTGCTGACACCCAGCTCAAGTACAAAACTCTTTTGCCACTGAACACCACTGCCCTTCACACTTACATTAGCCTTCCAGGCACCAAGAGGCCTTTATGTTCACACAACACTTGTGGTGACTACACTCCTGTTTGAATGTATGCTGGATGGTGTTTTTCAAAAAAAAACCAACATAAATCAACTACTGTCTGCTCCTAGAAAGAGAAGACACTTCATGCATCAGTGAGGCTATTCCACAGGTAAATCAGTGTACACCTCAAAAGGTGTTCCACTCAAGTATTAATCATGAACAAAAATGCCTATGGGATTTCATGCAGATTCAAAACATGTTGATAAAATACACCTGTAAAGCTTTCACATGAGCCAGGAGAGCTCCCAGATGATGTGTTTGAACATTTACTAAATTGAGCTTTTTGATCCAAATACACCGAGGTCAAACTTTGGCTCAAGGCCATACTGTATTTTTTTTAAGTATGTTAAAAGGTACATGACCCAGGAAAAAGCAAGCATTTAAAAACAGAAAGACCACTGTTCTTCAGTGTGTCCCAACAGCAAGTCACCAAAACAAAAAGGCAACTGGCACTTCTCCAGAAAGTTTGACTTCCTACAGGAGAATGCATATTTGTTAGAGGCAAAAAAAAACAACCCAAAAACAAGAATGCAACAATAATGTTACAAGAGGCACTGATCCTGGCTTTATTCACTTAAAGATACATCCAACATTTGTTATAGCTCACTTGAAATTCAAAATGCTTTTAAGAAACCAACCATAAAAACTTGATTTTTGCCTTACAGTGCTGTCAAGTTTTCACATAGCAAGTGACTTCCCAGCAAGACTGTGTTCTCTCTCCATGTACATACAAAGATTAAAAGCTGGCAGAAACTCTTCAGTTTGTGGTATTTGCTGAACTGCACTCAGAATGACTACCACTCTCACTGGTGAGGAGGCTGCTCTGCTCACCTGCAGGGCTGGGTGCTGGGGGTCCTGAGTCTTACCCTGACCCTGTGCTATTGTGCCAATTAAATGAAAACTGTCCCTGCTTGCAGTACTCAAGAGGGACTTCACTCCCCATTGCATCTTTGTACTTGGCAGCTGTAACAAAGTCTCTACAGCACTAGAAAAAACAAGTTAGGACAGCAGGGAGCATGTCCCTTAGGTGTGTTAATCTGAAACTCAAACTACTTGGCAGCATCTTCTATAAATCCAAGATTTATACAAGACCATGTGTCACAGCCATCATATAATGATGTTTTACCTATATCCTCTTTTTCCTTTTTTGCTGCAATTAGGTAGATTCTTTTTAAAGTGATGAAGAGTGCAGGACTGAAGAAATATAAACATGTCTCTATTAGAAACTGCAAAATTTAGTATGGTGACACTATGAAAGCTTACAGTACAGCTCATCAATTCTATGTAAGATTCAGCATCCACATGGTGTCTACCCTCTGCCTAATGAAGCAGTTATCAACATGTCCCAGTGTCACTTTCTGTGCAAAACACATTCCCATATTAATGTGGCTACAAAAGCATGAGCAGTTCCCATGTTGGTGTATCATCCCTGTCACTTTTTGTGACTGGTTTCTCTGTTTAATGATAACCTAACTAAAAATAAGCTTGTTATGTAAAAGCAAAATAACCTGTATCTTCAAGTTTATTCTGGGTCTCAGACATAGTTCAGCAACATGATCTGCAGAACAACATGCCAACCATTCCCATAAGCACTTTAAAGAGACTAAACTGAAGGAAAAATCCAAATTGAAGACACTCACTGTTATAGTATCTTTAATTTATCTTGTGTTTTACAGAAGTCTGAATGGATTAAAAAGCACCTCCTTTCCCATCACGTTCCTTACAGTTGGTAAAATATATTCAATGAACAAATGTACGTGAACAGCTTCAGGACCTGCATCTTGCAAGGATTTCACAGACCAAATCAATCAAAAAGCCAAATTTCTTGTAGTTTTTACAGCCTTACTTTAATACAACGGTAAATCCATTCCGATTGTAAACCTGTCCAGTCACATCTCCCCAGAACACTCTGCAGAAATCCAGTGCTGATTAGCAAACTAGTTAGCTTTGGCACGGAGCTGTGCTCTCTTGCCTGTGACAGCCTGGAACCCAGTTTTGATGCTGGCGACGGAGCAGCGAGAGTGGCAGGTCTCACACTGCAGGAAATATAACCTGGTGTCCTTCTGCAGGATGGTGTCCGGCGACCGGCACGTGTGGCAGGTGACGTACTCCTCTGCAGAAAAGGAACTCAGGGCAGTTAAAAGAGAATGCACTCTCAACAGAGAAGTCACCACTTCTTCACCCTTAGTCTGGAAAGGCTGTTCACATGTCTCTACTAACAGCTATGAAAATCAGAGGTTAGAGGCAAGCTAAGAACTCCACCTGGCTCTCAGGTAATAACGACTGGGTTCCACGTGGTGCACTATGCACCAACACTGCTGTTTAAAAACATAGCAACAACCAGCTCAGACTTCCCACTGTCATTCCAGAACTCCCTGTGCTGAAACAGCATCCCCAGACATCAGCAACTCGTGCACATACACAGCAGTAAAGCTGTATTTTTTGTTACAGGTAATCTGGGAGTCCTTTGACCAGCAGCATGCACGCTGTATTTATTAACATGAACAACAGACCTGAAAATCAGCTGCTATTTCCCATAGTCCTTATCAAAGCCAAGAAAGGAAAGTGAGATGAGAAGCAGCAATTCTCAAATGCTCTTGCTATTCCCCTCAGTATGTTTTAGTGCCAGGACCTACATGATTACTAAAACCACAGCAGAGCCCCCTGTATTGCACTGTTCCATTATGAAGCTGCAGCAAAGCTGCAACTTCTCAGCACAGAAGCTCCACAGCATGCACCCATACAGGGGCCACTGGACACCCAAAGGGGTCTCAGAGAAATGTGCAGTGGAGCAGGCAGTTATACTTACTGATATATCTTCTCAAGACGTTTTCTATCTGTTTTTGCTGGAATCTTCCTTTGATTACAAGTTGGTTGTTACCGTCTATTGAGCCACTAATTGCAAAGAAAAATTAATTATTTGCAGAAGACATCAAGTGTTAAAACAAGCTAGAAACATGAAGCAAGACAATTCTGTATTCTTCAAGAATAAGCCAGAATTACTTAGCAGCAAAAACTGCAGGATTCTGAAGGTACTTGAAAACTTACAGGAAGTTTTTCCCAAGCTGCAACTTAACCCTTGCTGCAGTAAAAGCAAACTCAAGCAGAGATCAGTCTCACAGTCAAGCTGCACCATCAGAACAACTTTACTGATATGAGAATTAACATCTGCTTTTCTCACAGAAGTGACCTAGACAGCTACCTAGTAAGGCATAATATGACTAGTCAAGATCCTCTTCTAGGCAATCTGATGTAGTAAATTGAATGTTTTTCTCACATTACAGTTTCTAGGTGTTTGTTTAAGATGTCTGGAGCTGAAGAGACCCAGAAGTCCAATCAAACTGGCAACTGTTTTATATGTGTTACAATTAAACTCCTTGATTCTCTCTGTCTCCATGTAACAGCATTGTAGCATACAACAGAAAAATGAATAGACAAGGAAGCACACCACCACCACAGCATTAAATCTTTGATAAGAAACATGAAATCAACACTAGTTTTATGCTAAGACAGATGGAATTAACTGCAGCATGGGACAAAAAAAACTAGCTAGATGCCCACAAGACTTGCTGTTAGACAGTCAGGCATTGTCTCTTCCCTCTCTCTCATCTGCCTGAAGCTGGTGAGAGTCACAGAACCACCCTCCCTGTGACAAACTGCTCTGCTGTCACAGCTTCTGTAAGACAGGTCCCAAATCCCAAATAGGGAATCCAAACTCTGATCCAAAATGTTCCCTGGGACTTACGAGTTTGCCTCTACCTCTTTCCCAAGATGATAGCTCTTCAATCACCCAGCACAGGGACAAAAAAGACTGATGTTTAAGCACATATACATAGATCTAACCCAAATAATTTTATTTTTCATCAGATACCAGCTATGATGCCATTGCTTCCTCCATGCATATGCACATGCATGGCCCAGCAGCCTTACCTTGTACCCAACTCTGCCAACAAAAACGCCAGGAGATGTTTTGGCTGACGATGTAGTCTAAAAATAGAGTAAGGATATGCTGAAGCTCCCTTCTTCAGAGAAATGGGATATTTATACAGGGCTGGCAGGCTAAAACTATCTTGTATTACTAACTTTAAAAGGGGTCAGTGCCAGATAGTCTGCACCAAAGAGCATAGGCAGACAATAAGAGGACACAAGAAAGTTGAACAGTCCACAGAAAACCCCCACCACTCCCCCCATATCTAACTCACAGTCACAGTAACTATTAAAAATAAGTTTCCCATTTGAGATTTTCATTCTTATTCTCCCATCCCCACCACTCCCTGAAAAAAAGTTGTAAAAAGTCACTTTAGTATTCCACCCACTTCCTCAGTATGATTTCCTCAGGACTGTTTTCTGACACACTTGTGAAACAGATCAAATACACATTCCCAGAAGTGCCCACAAAGAATAGGACTGTCTTCACAAGAAATAATTAAGACATAGAAAGCACTACAGAAAACACTGGGGGTGGGGGGGAAGGAAACTTCCTAAACTCCAGCTCAAATTAGAAAGCAAAAAAAATGAAAAAAAATTCCCAGCCCCACTCAGACTTGCAAATAACCATCACTTCACTGGTGACCCAACTACAGACTTCACAGAAGCCAGTGAACTCTCAAAATGAATACATTTAGCTTCAGTCCACGAGGCCCATGTAGCAAGCCTACCATTTTCATAATTTAAAGTATAAAATATTATCTCAATACATCATCTCCATAAATATCTTCTTACAGAGAGATGCAGAGGAAGCGAGCAGTAAGACTGAAACAGCTTTCAGTTGGACTTCTGGTTTGCCATAGTCTTTTGCCAGAAATCACAACCAACAGCACAAAAAAGTGCAACCATCCCCTCCTCCTGGGAGATCTTAAGAAGAAACTCACAATTTGCAGATATCTGTGAAGTTGACAAAAGATGTTTTCTTGGTCCCTACTCTCACAACCTGCGGAGGCTTCATGACGAATTTCCGTTTCTCCCCAGCCACCATATCTGGGTTTTTTTCCCGCATGATGTTAAATACTCTGTTGAGCAACTGCAAGAAAGAGGATTCACATCAACATCAGTATCTTGCACTTCTCAAATGAAGTACATCCTAAAAAACTTGAAACAGTGTTCACAATGAAAATCAGACCATCTTTGCCCATTAGTATTCCCCCCTATGCTTTTGAACACACACTTAAAAAAGGTTCTGATGAACGAAAAATAAAAAAGCTGTTTCCCCAAGGGTTTATTCCATAATCTAGAATACCTCACTCTATATGCAGAGACATTTTAACTATCACCAGTGTTGCCCTATATGAAAGTTAACTGTGGTAAAAGATGTGCTTTCTATGATTTTTCTGTTCACAAGCTTCTGACAAGTCTTTTAAGTTAGAAACTGGACATATGAGCATAAGGCCCTGCTCTACTGAGGCACATCAACTTGGAAAACATTTTTAGAAGTCTTTTGAACATACCTCATCATATGTGTAGTCCCTTTCTGAGCCTGCCCATGCAGGTCCTGACTGAAGGCTAAAAGAAATTCCGTCATCTTTTTTGCTATCTTCATCCTCAAAAGCTGTAAAGAAAGTTGTTTGGGATTCATTAAGAAGAAAAAAAAAAATCATTCTTTAACCTCATGCTTACACCATTTCTAAAAGGTACATCAAAGAGTCCACCAAGATGCTAACACAGGTCTTCTCTGTCTGCCTACAAGGGACACCAGCACTTATGGCAAATTTATAGCGCTCTCACAGAACATTTTCCTAATAAACAATAAAGTGGTAAAGGCAGCAAAAGGAATTCTGAAAAAAAAGGCACTTAAACAAAATCTAGTCACCTACAACATGGACTACATTTCACTTCCAGCACCTCACTGAGCTAGGTGAGACACTGAGCTATACTTTCACCTTCATCCTTCTCCATTATCTCATCTTCATCTGGGAACTTCACATTCTTCTTTTTCTTCTTTTTATTGCCCAGCATGATATCAAGGTCATCTTCAGGTTCTACTGCCTCTGGCACATCTCCTTCAATCTTCAAGTCCTGCAAAGAAATAGTAAGACCATAGTTTACAGTATTAAACACAAATCTCCCCTGCACAGCATTAGAAATAATGAGTAGCACACTATACTGGATGAATACTAGTAATATCCACCACAGTCTTGAAACATAACAGCTAAGAAGGAACCTAAAGTATGTTGAAGGGAGCACCACATCACTGTGATGAAGCAGGGCCACATTCTTATATGCCAAGCTCAGATACAATGATGTACATGTGCCTAACAGTGCAGTCTTGGATTAAAACTTGAGTTATACTGGGTTTTTTTGGAATAGCTGATTTCCTGCTAGGTAATCAATGCAGGCAAAAGTCTTCTGGTCTAACTTCTGGTTAGTCAAGAACAATGTCACACTATAATTACCCAAAGGCATCAGCCATTTTAGGGCCTAAGGGAACAAAACACCTGACATGCCAGACAATAAAGCAAGGCAAAGCTGTGCTACCTGCAGCCAGTCCAATTTGTTACCATGATCCTGCACATGTAGAGCAAGCATGCCACGTGTCTGGGGCAGATCAGAGGGACATTTTCTTTCCCCAAAGCCAAAACCTGAAGAGGTTTATACATAACATTTCTGTCCTCTTGCTCTCTGGGCTTGCCAGTTACACTGACACATGATACTTTTACTCATCTCAAGTTTATTCCAAGTCATGATTTTGTATCTTGTACACCTTCTAGATAACAGGACAGTTGTCAATCACTTCTGAAGAGAGCACCAGAGTAAAACCAGGTTTCTTAGCAGATATATACCCTTTACTTGAAGGGCTGGCCTTTGGAGGACACTTACTTCTCCCACTACAAAGCACAAGTATCCTCGATGCTAGTCAATCCTTACTACAGATTGCAGGATTACTTGCTCATTGTGCAGAGCAGTTAAGATATTTTTATTTCTGGGCAAAAAGCCCTACAGAAGCAACACGTTCAGCAGATCTACTGTACATGAAAGACACAGTGAAACCTCAGTTCCATTATTAACTACACTGAGACACAAGAGACCCGAAACAACTGTACGGTCAATGCCCAGAAAATGAAAGCAATGAAGTTCTCAAGCACAGACAAGATGGTCTAGCTAAGCAAACAAACCTTAACACCTTCTTCTGCTTCATCTATATCAAATATCTTTTTTGTTTTTTTCTTCTTTTTCTTCTGGTTGAAGAAGTTCAAATCATCCAGGTCATCTGTTGCATCTAAAAAAATAAAGGGATTGCCAAATGTATAACTGCAGAAACAGTTTTGACATTAAGGTTTCTAATTTACATCCAAATCTTCAAAAACATTACAGTAAGACATAAGCAATGATCTGTACCCTTACAGATATCCTTCAGGTTTTAAAGAGGTCATTATCCTCTACCCTCAAATACCTCAGTACTATTTCACAGTTACACGTCTTCTAACTGCATTTACTGATTTTCTAACTGCTTAATCTCTGCCATACAAGGGAAGCTAGCCACTCTTATCATTACAGGAGATGTTTGAAAAAAAAAAAATAAAACCATAGGAGACAGGTATAGTTTCTCTGGTATGCTGCAGGAGCCAATTTTATCAACAAACTGGATTTAAGTTAACAGCATTCCCTGAATCAGGTTATCTTGAAATGACATTGACCTCAATTTTGAAAGTAATGTTATATACACAATCACAAGCTTATTTCCTGAAAAATTCCAAAGAATACTATCACATCCATAATTGTGCAAGAGTCTAGAAGCCCTTTTAACCCTATTTCCATTATCACACTGTGGCTTAATTGTTCAAATGAAAACCAGCCATAATTGTGTAATTATGGCAACGAACGCGTGTAGAAAACAGGATTTCACACTAACTATAGTAGGGATCCTCTTTTTACTGTCTCACACAAAAGACTGAGTCAGGAAAGTAGAATTTACATATGTCTGTGAATGTTTTCAAACAGGGGGGAAACATGCCTTCCAAACAGGCAGTGGAGTATTACCCACAAGCCTCTAAACACACCTGGGCCCCAGCACTGAACACTGCAATGCTAAATGCTTGAAATGGGGCTTGTAATCTTAAAATACAGAAGGACGACCTTTGAGAGTTTATCTGAATGGATTCACTTTACCTTTCTTCCTGCTGTCATCTTCATCTGCTTCAACATCTTTGTCTTCTGTTGGCTCTGGTTCAACTTCTTTCGTTTCTGATTGCTGAGTCTCTTCTGCTTGTGTATCTCCTCCTTCCTCATCCAGCATAAAGGGCTTCTTCTTTTTCTTCTTCTTCTTGCTCATAGTAGGATCAAAAATCATCTGTAAAAGTCAAGAGTTCCTTAGGAGCATAATAATCACCTACCATTCAATATCTGTCACACCTTTAAGTTTCTCTCATCGTCCTTCGGTTACACAAACTGTTCCTCAGCTTCAATCTCAACTGGGAATCTTCCTAGCTCTGTACGAGTGTAATGCCAGTGACTCAAACCAGTGCTTACACACACTTCCTTAAAAGCACCACACACTTTGTCCCAAGGCATAACTGATGTGACCAATTACAAGAGAAGAGAGATCAGAACACTGCTTGACAGGTCAGAGCTTCTGCTGCTGTTCCTATGCTAACAGTCTGAGTCTCCTGCCATCTATGTCTGCCCAGCAGACAAAGAGCTGCACATCTCTGACAGCCCTGCTACCAGCCACTTCTCCATTTCAGTATTATTAGGGATTCAAATTTTGAAGTAAGACTATGCAAAGCAACCACTAAACCATCTCAGCATCAGAAAAAAAATTAAAAAAATAAGCAGACCTATACCACAGAGTCTGATTCCCTGCCAGTCCCACTTTGTACTTCCTCTTGGGAGACACAGTAATTTCAGGATTTATTAAAAGGCAACATTTACCAACAACTCTCTTGACAAAAGTGCTCCACACTAGGGACAAACCTAGAAGAGGCTGGTGATAGAGCAAAACCTGTATCAGAACTCAATACTATGAAGTAGCAGAGGTCTTACCCTTTTCTGCCATAAATGGGAAACTGAACCTCAGAGACCAAATGATTAAAAGCTGTTAGTGAAAGAACTCATTAGCCAGCAAATAAGCTTAATTTACCTAGCCTGACTGTGAAGAAAGCATCAACCCCAAGACTCACTTTTAACCTATTCATCATCTACAGACCTGAAATATTTAACACACAAGCTCTTCAGTTTTCCAACACAGGAATGCTACTATTTTTTTTTCCCCACTTAAAATTCAAATTCAACATCATAACTATTGGTAAGTTTTGTTATGTGTATCTGGCTGTATTTTCACACCATAGTATATATTTAATACCTCAATTTTAGACACTTAATCTTTCTTCAGTTTTTCTTATCTAGTAATTGAAGAATGTTCTCACAGCTAGTTAAAATTCCACATCATGAATACCCTCACTCATGCAAACACCACCACTTCATCAGAGGGGCAGTTCTCCAGCTTCTTGGTCTGTAACACCCTGCAAGTCTGGCAGTTTCCCTCCCCTGACGAAGCAACTTCTCATTCTCCTACACAATACTCTTGGGGAAGTTCCAGAAAATGAGACGAATATCATGTTTCATAAAGGCTCTACTGAAAGGCAATAAACTGGTCTGGGTGCCTGAGCACAGCATCACAAAAGCACCCACATACAGGGGACACTGAAGCTTGAGGCTTTCAAACTGCCCAAGTGTGTCTTTAGCTGTACACACTGAACTGGAACAACTTTCATAGAAGTTCTGTCAGAGGGTTACCCTCTAATGCTTATATACACGTGTGAATCATGCTCTTGTCATGCACAGACACCAAAGAATGCACACAACCAGCTCCACTCTCTGCTGGCTTCCTCTTGTAACCTCCACACTGCTGAAAGAGAAGGAACATGTCTGCACCAACCAGCAAGAGTCCACAGCTCTGGGAACAAGCACATGAACGCCACTTTCAAGATCATGACTCATTTCAATGAAGAAGCTTTGCAAGACTCTGAGGAGGTTTAAATCTTCTCACATGATGAAGCAACCATGCTTAGATCGAGTATAATAATTTCCAAGAAGGAATCAGGCCATCCATCCCAAATCACTCTTCTCTTTGCAAAGACATCTTCCATCCTGAGCCACCATAAAGCATATCTTGTGTCTACAAGAGACAGAACGTGTATTCAGCAGTACCACACTAAACTGGAGTTAACAAACAAGGACAACTCCTGGGCACAGGAGGTTTTTTTCTGCATTGAAGCTACATAGCTGGCCTTGAACAGAGAGCACTGCTCTGAGCTCCACTCCATCCAGTCAGGTCACACCAAGCTCCTGCAAACCAAAGAACTTGTCATAACATGCTAACTGCTCTCAGGAAACAAGGATGAGAGTTCCACAACCTGACAAGGAGGTCTACACCTGCAACATTTTGTTCATCCAGGGCTTAAACAAGAACTATGCAGGAGTCTGAGGTCACAGACACTGTAACAAATCATGATGTAAACTAAGCAGTCTGATAAGTGTGCTCATCCATGTTCTGCCTGAGCTAGACATCTCAGAAGTCTCTTCATTCCTTTTCTCTACTCAGTATGTTTGATTAGCTGAAGCATTATGATACTGAATACTTCTACTGTAAAGTGACAGGCCCTCTACTGAAAGGTCTGTAGCCCCCAGCCCAGACTAACCCAACCCTGTGCTGTTCTGGGTAGAAACAGTTGCAAATTTATGTCCTGCATTGGCCCTCAGAGCCAAATTCCCATATGGGATTTCCTCCTTCTGTAGACCATGTAGCTCTCTCTCACATTCAGCTCCCTATATCTACTCCTCCTTTCAAATGCCTACAGTCAAAACCCCAACTTAGAGAAAACTAGCAAGTGAAAGAACAGAGGGGGGGGAAAAAAAGAATCAAAGCTTCATGGTCCAAATGCTACCTCTCAACAAAGAAGCCAACATTAAACTAAACTTCTGTGACAGTGGCAAATGCTGAGGATTCTAACAGAGGTCACAAATCAATCCAGTTTCATTGGTGTGAACAAACAAAGGCATGTCTACAAAGCAGACAGCAGCTCTGCACTGATGCAGCTAGTTCAGGTTTCTTTACACCACACCGAGATGATGTGTATGACAGAGTGCAAAATTATCAAGACCAATCTGTACCTAAACCCTTTGGCTAATCAAAACACTGCATTGCCTAGCAGTATTTCCTGGACCTTCATGAAACTATTGTTGGAAGAACTTTTAGATAGCTAGTAGGATTACTTATGTAGCAGGGTCTTTAATAAAGCAAACAGACATTAAGAGCCTGCTTCCCCTTGCAAAGAGGGCCTCTGCTGCACTGCACTGCTGGGCAGCACTCCCACAGGAGATGCTTCTCCCAGGGACTTTCAGTTTGTATACAGCTCTGAAAATCTTAAGCTACAGTCCAAAACAACCCAACAAAGTTTCATAACATCTCTGCTACTTTAAGGTACAAATTTGTCTTCCTGTGTCTTCACCCTCCTCAACCTTATAAGATCATGGGCTTTAAAAAGTTTCACCAACAATGTCAGTGAGAAACTATTTGGCTCCCAACGCCCAGCTACACAGGAGCTCTGGAAGGCACGTGCACTGGCCCACTCTCACACCTACTAGCCACAAGTTCCAACAGTGCCAGTTCAACTGTGGTATCTACTACCCTTTTTGTTCCCTGTCAGTCTGATACATAGAGCAATCTAGAGATACAACTTTAGTACACTAGATACTCCTGATATCACCTCAGTGACAGAGCAAATGCATTATGGAACAAAAATAATTGTCCTGACGCCTAAATTAAACCCAAACCAGGAAGCTGCAGATGAACTGCTCTGCAGCCCTACCATCACCAGGGGCAGAACGCAGCTGATGCAAGAATTCCTGGCTCCTAACTTCCGGCACCAAGAGTGCAACCTAGACGTGAGAACTGCAATTCCAACAGCACAACTAAATACAAAATCGCAGTACACTCACTCCTGATGTTAAAGCAGCTGAATAAATCCATCTCAGCTTCCATTAAAATAATTAGTAATTATGCTAGTTCTCTTTTATCTCTTAAGACAAATTATGACTTGCCTATCTCCAAGGCTAGTGATCACTTCGCTCAGAAGGAAACAAGCCACACAAGTATTTTAAACACCACCAGCAAGAAGATACAAGACCAAGAGCAACCATCTCACAGATTTAGCCAGTCCAGTCTCCCACAGGCCTGTGTGAGCACCCATCAGGGTGTTTACAATCTCACAGACGTTAAAATTTCTGGGTTTTTTTCCCCATGAGAGCAATTAAAGTGTATTAGTAAAGGTGCCATCTGTAACACTTGAAAAGTTTCTCAAAGACGGATGTATCTACTTCCCTGGAAGCGTGGGTAAGCAAACGCCATCGGATGTGGAAAACGTGAAGCCATTATTTGTTAAAATGCACCCATTTAGCTCTAGGGATTAAAACCCAAAACGCTACAGCTCCAGAAAGAGAGCGGCAAGTAAACTGACCCAAAGCTGCACATCGCTAGCAAAGCACGAAATGCAACGGGGAACGGCGGCGGGGGGGACACACATCTTCCTCCCCGGGCCTCCGTCTGCCGGAT